CTCTTTCGAGGCCGGCAAGACCCGACCCTCCTGTAAGTCCACGGCAGCCTCCTGGCTTCGGACACTTCCACGCCGCCGCGGGGAAGCCCCTGGCTGACAAATTGCCCGCCTGGTATTTACTAGTGAAAACCACAACCGCAGCCGGCAGTCATTAGCCCGGCCGCCGGCGCAGCCGCGCATAACTAAGTCCCGCGGCTCTGTGCCCCCTTCCCTGGGAGGAGACCTGGGAGGAAGACCACCGAAAGTGGTCCTTCTGGCCGCATCCTTTTCTTCGTGGAGTCTAAGAACCCGACCGTCTTTTCAAGCCTCAACACGCTTCACCTTTCCCCCAAATCATTCCCATCATTATAGTCCAAACCGGCACCTAAAAACGAGACGCGCGCGAAGAAAAGATCGGTTTCCAAGTCGGGAGAGGTTTTGTAAATATATTTCACTTATCGGTCTTTCCCCCCAGGATTGTCGAGGAATGTGTTACCGCACCGACGATGGGTTACCAGACTGCGGCCAGGTTTGTGCTCTGACATCAGGGCACTTTAACTCCAGGTTAGATTCCAAACTTGGCCCCACGGAGCTGAAAATGGCCGGTGTGCGCCGCATCCCCTCCCCAAGGCTGCCGAAGCCTCCGGCCCCTTCCCCCTCCGGGCCGATCGCCCAGAGACTTGCCTCGGATCTAAAAACCTTTCCCCAGCTCGGCGGGTGCCGCGCTCTTCGGGGACTCTTTGTAGAGTATCCTGATGATCAGTGTGAACCCCTGTCCAGCCCGTTCCTTGTCCGCTTTACCTTTCCGCAGGCGAACACCTCGCGGGTCTCAGCCCTCTCTTTCACCTCCTGAGCCTTGCGCAACAGCCCAGGACCTCTCCAGACAGGCTGCACCCAGCTCCGCCTCCGGAACAGCTGCGCCAAAGGGTTGGCGATACCCCGACGTGACCAAGCCCGCGCCACCAACCCCGGTAGCCTGTAGAGGCACCCTCAGAGACGCCTCTACTTCTCTGCCTGACCTCCAAGTACCGGTATTGGGCGCGGGGGGACCGCCTGCCGCTCTGAGATGTCGGCTCTAGGGCGCCCGGGCAGGTGCGCACGCTCTTTGCGGCGATCTCCCGCCCGCGAGCGCCCGGAGATGAGTGGTGCGGCCAGGACTGGCGAACAGCCTCGCAGGGCAGGGCACTGGCACCGAGGATCCTGAGGATCCAAATTGGCAGCGCCGGGGCTTGGGCTCCTGGCCCTGAGTGTCTTAAGCGCGGCGCGCGCCTTGCCCGCAGCCGGCTGTCTCCGGGACTTCTCACCCAATCGCGGGCTGATTACTTTTCGCACATTGCAACACTGTCGCTACCGCGCGGCTGCTCCGGCTTTGTGAAAGTTGGCCCGCGCACCTCGGAACCACATCTCCGGCGCCCGCTAAAGCCTACTGGTTTGAGATTAGTCTTTCTAGGAGGGAAAAAAGCGCAGAAAACCAATCACTTACCCGTGCCTGTAGGGCGTGCAGTTAGAAATCTGGGGCGCACCAGGGATTCAGTCGTGCGTCCTGGAGACTTCAGGTTGTCTCCAGCGGGGCGCGAGGGGCGCCCGCTGTTTAACAAGCCTTTGGCCATCCGGGCGCCCTGCGGCGCCTTGGGGAGGTTTGGGGAGCCCTTCCCAGCTCTCGGAGACCCCAGGCTGTCTCCAGTGGGGTGTGAGGAGCACCCGCCTTCTAACAAGCCTTTGGCCACCTGAGCGCCTTGGGGAGGTTTGGGGAGCCCTTCCGGCCTCCACTTCCCCGGCTGGCTAGCTGAGCCCGCTACCTTCCCGCCTTACTCCTAACCTGCCTTTCCAACCTGCATTTCCTTCTCCCTCTCTTCTTCCCGCTGCTCCCACACCCACCCCAGGCTCCCCAGTTCCCCGGTGGGCAACCTACCTGAATCAAAGAAAACAAGGAGAATCTGGACCGTGTCCTCCATTAGAAACGCCGGATGGGGATGGGTCCCCGTCTGGAAGGGGACTCCGGGGATGGGTCGCGGCGGGTGGGCTTCCTGGGCTTGCAGCCGCCTCGCTGCTGCTTCTCCTTGGGCTTCTCCGACTCTTCGGGGTCCCTCAGATCCCGGTCCCGGGGCCCGGGCTGAGGCTCCTCCCCCTCTCTGGGGCTCCGGGGCTGCTGGCTGCGGGGCTGGGAGCGAGTCGGGGAGGCGTCGGGGCTGCGCACCCGCAGAGCTTGGAGGCGCTGGGTGAGGGACTGGCCGAAAGCTCTCTGCCTGAGCGCCGCGGGGCCGCGCTCGTCCTCGGGCTCCGTCTCCGGCTCTGTGGTGGGGGCGGTCTCGGTCTCGGTGTCGAAGTCGATGTCAGACTCAATGTCAGATTCAGACTCGGTCTCAGATTCGTAGTCGAACTCTTCCTCGTAGTCAGGGCACTCGGGGCGGGACAGGTCCTGGTCTGCCTCCTCCTGATCCGAGTCGGAATTTGGGGGCTCGGGGATCACCTGGGCGGCGGAGCGGTGGTGGGCGTTAAGGAAGCTTCGGCGGGCAGCCGCGCGCTGTTGGGCGCGGGTGTTGGAGGTGGCGAGGGCGCGGAGGAGCGCGATGGAGCAGGAGAGCCAGAGGAGCGCAGTGGCTGCTCGGCGGCCAATGGGTGGGCACAGATCGTTGTAATTGTGGCGAGCTCGGCGCCAGTGAGCCCGGGACCTGCGATCCATTCTCTTAAGCGCACACCAAGAAGCTGGCCCGCTCTCTGTGTCTGCAGAGAGCGGCTCCGGTGCGCATTGGCTGCTGGAGCCGAGAAAGGTGCGCCTGATGAGGTGAGACCCTGGGTCTGGAGGTCCCGGCCCTGCCTCGGTGTAAGAGCAAAAAGGGAGCACCTACCGCGCTGACCACTCAACTTTCTAAAGCTCCGCGCCTCTGCTTGCCTCTGAGCAAAAGGAAGTGATGGGGGAAAGTCTGTCTCCTCCTAGGCTCCTCTCTCGAAGTCTCAGACTCTGCAGCCTAAGATTCGGGGAGGTGCCTCCGCAGATCCTCTCCCTGGGAGAGGAGAGAGGAGACTGAGGCGCGGAGAGACTGGTGGAGAGGTTCTGCAAAGTTGCGCGCCCGGACTTCTGCCGGGCATGTGCAGTAAGGAGGCGGGGGCGCCTCCCCGCGAGCTGCGCGCAGCGGTATCGAGTCTGTGGCGCAGACCCTAGTGGGCCGGCAGGTGGCAGGAGGGAACCTTGTTTGAACGGATTTGGGGGAAGCGAGAGGGCGGGGTGGCGGGTGCCAAGGAGCAAGCAATCCAGCCACAGGTTAGCAGCTGGGCATGGGTTCTCCATGGGGTTCGTATCCTCTCCCCAACTTCTCCAGTGTTATCCTTAAAATGAACAAAGCCGGAAGCAGCTCAAACGAAACCTCAGACTTGCAGCCATTCAGGGGAAATGAGGGTCTGTACAGGAGTATTAATGATCCTGCCTGGACATTTTCCAAGGGCTTGATCGTTTGAGGATAGTAACCTCAGGCAGTCATTAATCATGAAACCACCTTTGGCAGAACTGTTATAATGACTGTAATCTGAGAAGTTTCCCAAAAGTCGCCCCCCTCCCCATCCCTTGCAGTCTCAATCTGCTAATTACTTCTTTAGGAAGGGTCTCCGTGGAGCCGCTCCACGAGCCCACGGGTGGACCTCTGGGAGCTCTAGTGGCCAACGTGGCCGGAAGACAGACTTGGATCAGCTGGAACCACCACTTCCGGGCAGTCTTTCCTGCACTGATAAGCAGTAGGCACAACCACATGTGCCCTCTGTGGTGGGGAGGGGTGACTCGGGGTGTTGGAAACCTCGTTGAGTATTCCTTAAGGCTCTCATGGCTTTTCAACAAAATTAATTCATTCCACAAATATTTATTGAGGGCCAATCTCTGTTCTAGGCGCTGAAGGTAAAGTTAAAAAAAAAAAAAAGACAAGAGAAAAAAGTCTTAGATGAAGGAAAGGATGTTTAGAATTAATCTGCTGTGAATCAGAGCATTACACCACTCAGAACATCTTACCCACCAACACTGTTTACTCCAGCTCTGATTGTATGTGAGAAGCGGTTGGATCAACCAGAGCATTAGCTATAGGGACAGCTAAATATCCCTGGAGCATGTTGTTGGACCCCATAGGCTAAAACGTTGGAGGAAGTGAGTAGGGCTCTTTCTTGGCCCTGGAAAGTCCAGCGAGCACCAGGTCCTCCAGGGCGCCCTGGAGTGAGTGGTCCTTGCTCAGGAGAGCAGGGTCCCTTGGAAGCTCTGGAGTTCCATCTGCAACCCGGGCACTGGAGCGCCCCGTTGCCATCATGACAAGACCAAAGGTGGTGAAATCAAGGCAGAAACCATCTCCTAGCGTCCATAATAGCATTAACAAGGTTGCTTCACTTGGGACACATGGTTTCTTTGTGTTTGAGTCAACACAGGGGACACTTGAAGAGCCACAACCCCCTAACATTCTGCTTTTCCCTTTTAGTCCACCTGGCAGCCCTCCTGGAGCTCCTGGTGGCTGGAGAGTCACGCGCCCCAGCGGTTACTCAGCAGGTGGGATTCGCCCTCGGACCTCCCAACACCGTGCCTGTGTGAAGACCAGCAAACGCAGAGTTAAGACCTTACTAAGATCTAACCACTGCTTTGGGTGTGTTGAGGTTTTGTTTCTGCATCTTGGATGCCGATGCATTCTTGAATGCCTGGCTTCTTGGCTGTCTCTCTCTTACATCTCGTGTTCTTGGAGTTAGTTTGTAGCGTTAAAGTACTGATTGGTCTAATAAAGTGGGATTGATTGGCAAACCCCATAAAGGCTAATGTCTGTATTCTAGTTGTGCTGTGCTCTCTCACTTTCTAGAGAACCTGACGGGTTTTATTAGCACAAGTTCCTGGATGGCTCCAGTCACCGTGTGGATATTGTTATGGGGCACTGGGCGGGGCATTGGAGCCGTCCATCTTAAATCATGATTGCTCTGCCGTCGGGGGGTTGTTTTCAAGGTTCTGCTCACAGGACCTACCTGCTTTATTTCTCTCAATTAGCACAGCCCATTGACAGTGTATGACGCATAAAGACATTGTTCGGCTGGGTTTCAGGGCACACTGCGGAAAGGGCCAGGAGCATGTGGGTGCTGGTGGATGCCCTTTGAATGGAGGGGAACACCCACTGCCGGCGACGCGGTGGGTTGCGGTTCTTTAGTATCGATTCTTGGAAGTGCTTGTCTTTCGGAAGCAGTGCTTTGTGCTGTAACGGAGATGGCAGCCCAGAGCTGGTCCGCTCACAGACACACCGAGATTGCCTGCATTTTTAACATGTGTATTACAGAATACATATTTTTTGACTCGCTTTTGCATTAGTAATGCACGTCCTTTGCAAGATTCATTTTAATCGGCAAACGCATGTTGAATAGACGGTGCATCCTCAAGCCCCAGATGCGTGCCAGAGTCCAACCGACAAGGCTCCAGGAGGAGCAGGAGGACCACGCTGAAATACTGTTCCATCTCCCGCTCAGGCTGAGGCCGAGCAAATGGATCTGTGCAGAAATGCTCTTTAAAATGCATTACGTGCCTGACTTTAAAAGTGCTTGCTGCAGAGTGAATTTCAAAAAGGAGCAAGTGGGTGATGAACGACGGCGGCTTGTTAGCGGGCTGAGGAACATGGGCCGTGTCTGTCTGCGGTAAATAAAGTGTGGACATCGGTCCCCTGCGGGGCTGTGCGGGAGGGGCCTGAACCTGTTGGACGGGGTGGCGCAGTTCCCACGGTCCCGGTGTCTACAGTCAGGTGCTTATTTGGATGAATTTGAAGAATGTTGTCTTCAGCCCCTTCAAGGATTGTCCTGTGGAAAGGGCATTAAGATGTGTTTTGTGTGACTCCAGAGACTGAATTAGAACTGATGGGTGGTAGTTAAAACAGACAGATTTCAGCCCAGCCCAATGAAGAATATTCTAACAATTAGGGCTCTGCTGTCAGGAGGTGGTTGGCTCTTTGTCAGGAGCAGTCTTAAATCAAAGGACAGATGACCACATATTGGAGATGTTTTCCGTGGGACTCATGAGCCGAGAAAGCTGGAACCCGATGCAGCACAGGTTCTCATTCCATGAAAGGCATGTGGAGGCCCTGGAGACGGGCTGGGGGCTCTCCGACTCCACTTCTATTTTAGAAGCACTGGAAAGTATAGTGGCTCAGTGACAGGAAGGAATGTTTGGGTGGCGTTTCAGGACACAAGCAAACAGGTGTATGTTGTGGAACTTTCATATCCAGGCCAGAACTCCCTTGTTGAAGCAAAGAAATGAGACAAGTCTGTCTGTTCATTATGTCAGTCCTCATTGCCTCCCCTCCAGGAGTGGTCTTAGAAATTAAAAATCATATTGGCTGTTTAGCAGTCATGCATTGAGTCACTTCTGAGACCAGGACCCTATTCTGGACACTGGGGAGTTGAGGAAATGGAGAGGGAACAACCGCCATCTATACCGTAATGTGCATGTCAGCGGGAAGGGTCCCAAATATCCAAAAGGGGGTTGCCAACAGGTGCCAAGTAATGCATCCACACCAGCTACACGAGCCCGAGAGGGACGGTGGGCACGATGGTAGTAATGGTGGCCACAGTCAGAGGGGGAGCTCATCTGGTGGTTTCTGAAAGGTACAGGTTTCTATCTGGTCTAGTTTGGAGATTTTCTTTTTTTTTTAAATTTGTGGGAGGATTGCTTGCCATCCCCCATCCCCGTGTGACTACCCTGTGCAAAACCCTGTGTGGTCGCTCAGGGCAAGACAGATGAAGTACCCAAGTTCTCTAAGCCCTGCCTGGCCATGGTCACAGGTCCTGTGGACACCGACACCTTTTCCAAGATGAGACACAACATAAAAGGTTGGTTCTGCTCTGCCAGGCGCGTGGGTCTGATCACTCTTGAGCGTATTTTTTGCACAGTCATTGGAAAGGACCACTGTGGAGATGGAGAGCTTTTCCAACTTTCCTTTGGGCAGGAATGAGCTTGGGAGTTTAAGGAGTTTAAGTGCAATCGGCCCCTCCCACTGCGCCACCCCAGGGGGCCTGGGGACAATGTAGGCACATGTGGCTGGTTTCTGGGTTGCTACGTCGCCATTGTTCACAGTGCACTGATACTGACCGGTTCTCACCAGTAGAAGTGGTGACAACCCTGAGCTGAGTTTGTGATTTTGAGGGAATGCCATCTAAAGCCAGAAGCGAACGCTGGGGGAAATAATGGTCTTTTTGACATAACTGGGTTCTGTCCGGGCCATTGTTGGGATGACAATACTCTGTCTGTGCCCTTCATTTTAAAAGGAGATGGGATCAGATTCCTGTGTCCACAGCTGTTAGCAGTTGTCTTTTCAGGAGTGGCCTTACCTTCCTCTCGCCATGTCCTCCATCAAGGTTCCCCCTCCCTCCCTCTGCCAGGGGAGGAGCAATTTCTAGGCTATTGATCCATCAGGAAGCTTCTGGAAATCCCTCATTCGGGCAAAGCATAAACTGAGGCAGGCAGGTTCTCCTAGGGCATGCTCCCTCCCATTCTCTGCTTTCATGTGGCCCCTGGTAACTCTGAACTCTGACCCTTTGCCTGGCTTTATCCTTCCAAAAGAGGGCACTGAGATCTGTCTGCCTAGCCCCAACTTCCACTCCAGCTCTCCGGCTCGTGCCCGTGGCCAGCTGAGACATCAGTGTCCAGAGATGCCGCAGCCCAGGGGATTATCTCTGCTGTCCCCCTGTGCCCTGCACGTCAGCTTCCTCCTGTCGCTGGGGGCTATGGCTGAAAACACGGCTGACTACGAAGGATGACTCAGCGCTCAGTCCCCGGGCTCATGGCTCTCCTGGTCATCCCACCTATTCCTCCAGCCAGTGGCACTGACAGAGGGCCTCAAAGTTGTTTTTCTCTCCTCTGCTAAGACTCTGACTCACCCCTTCAGACGTGGGGTGGGGGAGTGAGCAGGAGTGGGTAGAGAAAGGCTTAGTGGTGTCATGGTTCAGGCACAAGCTCATAGAAATCCTTTCAGCTCCAGCTCTTCAAAATATGATTAGACCAATTTTACATGTCTAGTCACTGAGGCTCCGGTAGATTGGGACTGTTGCTATATGTGC